TTTAAACTTTTGATAATATCTAGCAGCTTCTGGCATTTTCAGCTGCACACTCAAAAGTATTTCTCTTCAGAAACTCTATATCAATTAATGTTTTTCTTGCACTCAGATATGTAGGACAACTTTACATTCAGCTAACACACATTTTCAATTTTATTGAAATCCATCCAATCTTAACTCTTGATTTATAATTAAAACTACAGTATATTATGTCCTTAATGGCTTTTGAGTTTTTAAGATGCCTTTGTCTAGTGCCTGAAACTGAGATACACTTTGGGGTGCTCAAAACAGTTATTGATAGAAAAAGTGATTTTCCTCTTAACAAGTAGGAAACTTTCTATTCAATTTGTGCTAGTCTACATTAAAAAATATTACTCGTTATCCAATATTCCTTGCTGAATGCATTCCAATCATTAGGAAGAGTATATTCATCACATTTTAAAAGCATCATGAAATATTTTTATTACTTCCAAACTGCTAATATGTTCCCCCTGCTATATTTTAATATTTTTAATTTCTGTAGATATGCTTGATTCATAGATGTTCTTCCTTGAATTATGAAACCGATAAGTGGTAGCAATTAATCTCTTGCTTAATGTTACTGATTTAGCATGTAAAATCTGAAACAAATTATTGATTTCTATTAAAACATCAACATCTAAATGCATTCTAATATTTGCTATTTTAATGTGGTGGTCAACTACGCAGGTGTAGAGAGTTTGCCACTCGTTTCCCCTAGCTAGTTGGAACTGCTATTTACCCATTTGTAATTTTTTTGGTAATTAAAGCTTCAATTGTAATCTATAATGCCAAGTAATTATGAAGATTCAAATGAATTACATTGTAAACCAAAGAAGAACTCTGATGCTCCAAATCAACTTGATATCTTCTTTATGAACTGCTTCTAGTGCTAAAGCATTCACAATTTTCTTTTGAACAAATGCACTGCTGAGATCTAGAATCACATAAATTCCTCACTAACTCCTGTTTTCTTCTCACTTTTAAACAGCACTACTAGTTTGAAGTAAAATATTCTCTTTCTGTGAATAATTTAAATTAGAAACCAAAGTTGATGTATTTTCTGCTTTAGGTACAGACTCACTTGGTTACAGGCAAAAACATCGTGCAGAAATAATGCAAGGCAAAAAAGTCATTGAACAAAACATTATAAGAGAAAAGGAAGCAAGAAGTAAACATCACAGGTCTAAAACATCCTCGCTGAAAATAAAGCGATTAAAAAACTTCGAAGTTTAAAACCATTGCTGTCAAAAATAGCATGGTAAAAAAATAAAGCACCTGCAAATCATCATATGATGATAACATCGCAGACATGCATTTTTCAGGCTTTATGATTTGTGAGCACAAGATGGAATAAGGAATGTTTTTACTTTAATATTTGAATTAATTAATAAATTTTTGTTGCAAAATTAAGAAGAAAACATATGCATTCAAAAACTGAAAATGAGTAGAAAATTAATGCTACTTAAAGCAGTTAACAGAATTTTCTGCTTTGATAATTGATTAAACAATTTTAATAGAGGTAACCACATGCAGTTACTCATCTTCCATTTTATAATCTTTTTAGACCATATTTTTCATGAAAAATAACCAATAAAACTTTAAAAAAGAGGTTAATTAATTAATAACTTTTATTAGTTAACTATATACATTTAAAATTCTAGTGACTGCTATACCTAGCATTATTTTTCCGCTCATTTTTTCAGGAAAATTTATTAGTTAATTAAAACAATATGATATATAAAAGTAAAAATATTCCTCATTCTTTCTAGCACATATACATCATTATATGAATATGCAAATTTTTAAAGCTTGAAAAACGCATATCTGTGATTTTTACCGTCATGCGATGATTTGTAGGTAGTTTATTTTTTCCTACAATATTTTTGACGATGTTTTTAAACTGTAAAAGTTTTTTAACCACTTTTTTAGAAGACAAGGTCTTGTACCATGATGTTTTAAAATTGCAATGTTTTCTCCTTGCTTTTTCTTTTCTCCCACAACATTTTTGCCTTGCATTGTTTTCTCTGTTGACATTTTTGTCCATAATGTTTTCGCTGCTACATTTTTGGTGAACAACACTCACTCTTCTTCAGTACCTTATCACAAAATTAAACAATTTAGATGATTCTTGTACTTTTGCTGCTTGTCTTCGAGCCGGATTTGTCTATGGGCAATATTCTGGACCAAAAGTTTTGACTTTATGAAAGATATGGCTTTTTTTCAATGACTTTGTGATGAGACAACACTTGCAATATTCCCTTTTGAAGGTGTATACCTGTTTGATGATTTTCTGCCTACTCTAGTATTACTGTTTCTATATGTAAAATTAACTAACAAGCTGGATGATCCTCTACATTCCACTACTTTTCTTACTAAAGTCAAAAGTTTCCTTGTGTTATAACCTAAATGTGATTCTCCTTTCCTACTGCATTCTAAACGCAGCTCTTCAAGAAATTTTTATCAAATTAAGGGGCATAAATACATTCCCATAAGCACCTGCTGTGACATTAAGAAGAAAAGTTCGTAACTTCATTAAGTACTCATGGTGTAACTTTCTCAACACTTTCACATTATGGAAGTTTCTTACTGGCTCAATGGCTAACAGTTCACTGTATTTACTAGCGTATTAACCTTTTTTACTAAGAGGAGAAAATTATGGAAATAATTTAATTTCCAAAGGATGTGATTACAGCAGAAACCAAATGAAAACTATTCATGGGTAACAACCTATAACTATCAAAGTATAGTTTATTTAAAAGAAGCCTGAAATTCTAATAAGAATGCATAGTAATATCATCATAATATCTAAAAGAATAATATTTATTTCTATTTCCCTGTGTCCTGAATCTAGCCCACTCTTTATTTTTTTCTACTGATGCTCCTCAGGCTACAAATTATTCAATGCTGCTAGAACTGCTGTTTGTGTCATCTGTAATAGCTTGGAAGTCGTTTCCATCATCAACATCTTCATCAATGTTCAATGTCTTCCCATGTGCAACAAGCTTCAGAACCATCAACAGCATTAGATGTCACTATTTAGAAGCTCTTCACTGTAATTGCTCTCTCAATCAGAAAATCCCAAAGTTCATGAGCAAATCAATTACTGAGATGAAAACAACCACTATGTGGCCTAATCTATTTTAAAATTTAGAAGAGCTCACTTTATGAATGCCTTGATGAAAGGAAAAATTATGTGAATACTTAAAAAATTTTCAGAACCATGTGCCAGAAAGATGGGAGGAAAATACACAATATGACATTTATATCAGAACTTATGATTAGGTCAGTTTGACCACATAAACTATGTAAGCAATGCTACGAAACAAGTGCAGCTTTCATAACTCAATGAAAATCCTGAAACCACAGCTACAGCATTTCCTATTAAATAAAACATTAAATAACTGAATTTCTTGACCTTGATCAAGGTTTTATTGTTTTAGATTGCTCCTTCAAACTAATTTCATAAATCTAGCCATGCACTATGTTCCCTATAAATTTAGACATTTCTAATTGGGACAATTTAACAGTATTTCCAAATGATTCAAAATTAGCTCTTAAAGAGAAATTATATTTTGTGAAGTACTAAAATTACATTCAATATAAGAATTCAACTTTATATTCCTTTATAATCTGCCTATCCATTTTGCGATTTCATCTTTACAGCCTCTTGTCTGCGACTAATTTCCTGCTCTGTTTAATTTAAATCTGCCTGACCCTCAATTTTATATTCCTTTAATCATAATTTATTATTATTATTATTAATTTATTATTTATAGTATAGTAAAACCTTTAACAACTTGACCTTCTTTTAACTTAATGGTACAATTTTTCAAATTTTGCATTTCGAATGAATGTATCAGTTACTAGCTGATTCAACATATTTCTGTTTTTGAAATTGACATCGTTGTTAATTACCTAACAACTACTTGTTTTTAATTTACTTGTTAAGTAGCATCAGATTTTCCCCCTGAATCTGCCATTTACTTTTACAAAAAAAATTCTAACCAAGACATTAATTTCTGATGTTAAAAAATAACATGGTAAAGAGGAGAGGTTTTTTTTTTTTTTTTTTTTCTAAATAATGCTCAATTACCAAGTGATCAATGTTTCAGTGCATAAGAACTGATGTCCTTGGCATCAGTGCACTGACTCTCTTAGCAATACTGGTATCACGAAAGACACCTACAAACCAAACTAACACATTACAAAACAGAATCTAAGAAGTAGCTGTAAGTGCATAACTTAATCCCATTGTGTTAAGTTGGCAGAGATATTTAGATAAATATTCCGTTACAACTGTAACATTCAAATGACAATCTGCTAGTGACAACTTTCTGTTGTCATGGAAATGCACTATATAATATTAACAGGATGCAATTAACAAATATATAACATCTTCTCTTTTATGCTTCTTGACATGAAATCCAACACACAAACTGGGAAGTTTTCAATTAGTTGAATTCAGAAAATAAGATCCCCTGTTTTTAAAACTGCAATGTTGGAATTCTACAGGATTTAAATATAAATAAACGAGTGCCAGGCATAATTTGGACATGTAGATATTTAAAACTTTTATGCTATTACAGGTGTGAATAACGTGTAAATATAGCTGTATAAAAAGAATTGTATTAAATGTTAAAAAAATCAGATTTTATTTTATTTTGTCATATTTGATTAAACATTCTATGTTGAACCATTGCAGTTAGGTGAATAAAGAATAATATTTAGCAATAAGAAAATTTTGAGTTTTCCTCATGACAACAGCATCTCCATGAAAGATGGAAGTTTAAAATAAATGCATGCACAACATGAAAAGTTTTATATATCACTGTAAAAGTACTAAAAAATTAAGTCATACAATCAAAACATTTCTTAATTTTTATACATGCAAGTAAAAAATATATCTATCAAATTTCAAAATGCTAAATAGATTATTATAATAAAAGGGAAATAAAACTTCTATAAGGCAATAAAGACATTACTTTATCAGATTTCCAAGCCTGATTCTTTGTATACTGAGCATCCACAATTTCAGGATATTTTCTTGAAAAAAGCACTAATGCATCTCGCTCTCCACTTGTGCGTGATCCACGAAAGAAAGCAATTGACTTTTTCTTTGGCCATGGCCATTTTTCCACTGTTCTGTAAAGTTTGAACAAATTGATTTTTAAAATGATAAATTCTGATGCAAAATACTATAACACAAACGGTTTTCATATGAGGGTACTACAGCTGCACACATGTAAATTATCATGTCTTATGTGATGATATATTAAAGCCATGATAAAGGCATGCAATGTTGCCATTTTCACTTTGAACCGAGAATACCCATCCACTTGCATGAAAGAACTGGTAACTATTCTTTGATTACAATAGCTGACAACTTGCAGAATTCAAGGAACTACATGTCATAATTGTTAGGCCAGATTATTGGGAAACATTACATAATTAAGATTGGACTGGACTGGACTGGACTATCTAGATTAGTGTTTCCCAACCTTTTTTGTGCTATGGCCCATCTAATCCTCTCTAAAATTCTCATGCTCTCCATAGCACATACATAATTTTTAATATTCAAAAATTGAAATGTTCACAAAGGAAACTTTAATGATAGGTTTTAGGAAGACATCACTAGGAAATTTTGTGAGCAAACACAATGAGAAACTTTTAGAACATATAATGGAGAACTGAAATTCAAGTACAAAATAAGTTTAATGAAAGTTTTTTCTACATTATTTCAAGTATTAATAATTATTTATCATTTGAATTTAGTGAGATCCTTGTGCTTGATGCTTGCTGCAAAGAGATTTTATGTTAGGGTCTAGTTTAGCTAACTTCAATATCAAGTCTTCCCATTTTATTACATCCATCCAAATTTTTTTGGCAGCAAATCATTTATGGCGCTAATCCATATTCAACTAAATATAAAGATGGAAATGGAAACAATAATTTTCTTGCACATTTTGTTGCATTTGGATATTTGATTTCAGTTTCCTCACAAACCATGCCATCGCTCCTTTTATATTAAATAAAGTTTTAACTGACTCATTTTGTGTTTCGTCATTTTCATTTTACATTTACAAGTACTGCTTGATACTGCATATTTGAAATATCAGTCAAAACCAATAACACTGGCTGCATCATCCAAGTTGGGAAATTTATTTTTTTCAAATCAGAAAATCCTTTTTTTAAATTAGCCGATAAATTTTTTCAGATGATTGACAATAACATGTATAACAGTATCAGTCATTCACATTTTTGAAGCCAATGAAACTTTTCAAAATTTTTGTTGTAAATACATGTCTGACATACCATATTTGGACGGCATATAAGACGCACTTTTTTTCCTAAATTTGGTCTCAAAAAAGTTACCCGCGTCTTATACGTGAAGGTAATTGCATTCAACAATTGTTTATTTGGCTTTTATGAAACGTGAGAACTAAAAGAAACCACGCTATTGAAACTTTTTTTCCTAGTATGTAGCCGTCTAAATAAGGGTGCATGTTAAATGCTGTCAAATACGGTAATTCAATAAAGGTAAGGAAACCAAATATCTTCACTTTTGCATTGACAAGAATTTTTCCTTGAAAGTGTTTATTTAACATATTCAGTTTTTCAAATTAGTACAGTCAAAAGTCGTTAAGTCGGACATCCATAATCCGGACCTCAAAGCTTCAAACTTTCTGCACATGTGTCGCATTGACGCATGCGCGTAAGGCCTTTAGGGCTGAGAATATGCTTGTGCACGTGCGCAAAATACGTTTACGAGTGCGCGTTTAATGTATAAAACGGACGGTATAAGCTAAGCTAAAATTATTTAATTATCTATTTCAGTTAATGTTACAGATTGCGTTGTTCCTTAATCTTCAAATTGGATCCGGCTTATTATTTTTTCGCAGACTGTTAGAGCAATGTTATAAAAGTAAGCTTGAACTTTCGATTATGTCAAATAGAATTTCTGATATATATTTTATTAATATGTAAATGATATACAAAGCAAAAGTATGTTTCGAAGTTCATTAAACAAAAAGTGGAATTGCTACAAAAAATGGATAAAGGCATATCCTTTGTTTATTTAAACTTTAACATTTGTTTATCTAAACTTTGTTTATCTTTAACGCCGTGGCGCCGCGCAATGAATTGGAAGTTGATCTGTCAGCACTATCCTTATCTTCAGGGCAGATGTTTTTATTTTATTAGGATTATAATTCCTTACTAAATGTAGTATTTCATCTCGATGTACTCCATCTTTGTTATGATTTAAATCAAATTCCTCATCATTATAATTCGCTTCCGATAGCGAAGAAAGTGACAGAGGTTATTGAAAACGAAAAAATTTCAATTGACAAATTAGTCGGTATTCTCGACACAGCAATTATAGGACTTGAACAGCGGAACTTCGTAACTGAACAAGAAATTATGTCTGTTTAAAGAATTAAAGAGAATGTATTATCCCATAAAAAACGAAGCAACTTAAACAACTTACATTGAAAGAAATGTTTAATAAAGTAAACAAATAAATATTAAGCTTTTTTTTTTTTTTTTTTTTTTGTAAATTTTGATACCCTTTAGATCATAATTGTTCTTTATTTCATAAATTACGGTTTCATATTTTTAATTTTATAATTTCTGCATGCCATCTTACCAGATTTAAACTGACAATCTATAATCCGGAATCGCCGAAGTCCCGACGAGTCCTGATTAACGACTTTTGACTGTATATTTATTATATTAGTCTCATACAGTCTTCATTTCACTCTTCACAAAATAACTTGAAGAGACATTCAAATTTGGCACTTCAGTAGCATTCATACACTTTATAACTGAATTTAGTACTTTATTTATAAAAGATGAAATGTTTTCAGCTACCAGGTTTTTCCCTATGAATAACGTAATGCACATGAAGCATTTCTGGATTCTCATCTTTCATCAATTTTAAGCAGCCCTTTTTCTTGTCCATCATATTAAGACCACCACCTGCAGCATAAGATGTTACATATTTCATTGGCATATTTTTGACATCTAAGTAATTTTTCAGCTTACTATAAATAACTTGGAGATAGCGGTGCTTTCTAATGATTTACAGAACAACATTTCTTTGGCAAAATCACCTTATGTTACGTAAGTTATAAGTATGGCCTGTCTCTCAAAGTTGATTCATCCATTTGCACCGAAAATTTTCTTGTTTTCAGCTTTTCAAAAAGTTGCATTCCAGTATTCTCACTCATTTCATCTACTCTTCTCTTGTTATTTAGCGGCATAGCTTTAACATCTTTTTCTGGAACAGTTTTAAGAAATGCTGATGTTGATGGTTTGATTAAATTCTCCCCTATAGTATGACTTTTCCCAGATTTAGCGATGAGTAATGAAATTTGATAACTAGTCTCAAGCGTACGATTAACAATTGCATTATGAGCAGTAAACACAGGCTTTAATGTTACTCTTTTTCCAAAATTTTTCTTATTTAATTTTTGAAAATAATTCCTATCTGAATTAATATGAACAGTATGTTTCGTCTTCAAATGTGCCTCAAGACAGTCTCATTACACTGATTCATTGGTCAAGCATTCTTGGCATAGAAGACAAAAAGGTGACCGTTTATCGTGTACAGCGGGTATGAAACCAAATTTTAAATATTGCTCCCAATAATGACAAACTTTTTTTTTGCATGTAACACTCATAAGGGCTGATAGAAATAAAAATAAGATCAATTAAAAACTTTGTCACATTGCTAATATAAAAGCAGCTGCTTGTATATAAACGGCTGGTAAAAGCAGCTGCTGTTGCCATTCCTACAGGAAAAATTCTTTACAAAATATTTAAAATGCACCACAATTTAAAAATATTTTTACGTATACATCACTTACATTATTCTTTATTTTTGGGAATAAAAAACGAAATTTCGACTTCTTGAAGAAAATTTGAAATTTGTCCCTTCTCCCCTTAAATTCTGAAGGAGTCCATTTTCGAATTGCCTCCTGTGGGGCATGGGCCCCATGTTGGGAAGCACTGATCTAGATTATAGCTTAACATCCAAGGGCTGTCTGCTTTCGGGAAAAAAGAGATGCCTTTGTGGAGGACTTTTAAGTTAAACTAATTCACATTCATGTATAGATGGGAAAATCCATGAAAACTCTTATGCAGCCTGTGCCTAGATTTGAATTCTAGCTGAATTACCTATATGAAGCAGTTCTGTCTCTCAAGTGCTGGTGAATAACTACATAGTTTACGATGGGCAAGTAAAGCAAAATGCCCTGGCAAACTCTATACTGGGGGATCATTCTTTTGCACAGTAATGTGTGTTCACCTGTTACAAATGTTTCAGGGTAAAAGTTAACTACCAAAATGACCATCCATCTTATACCTCACATCTCCCTTCACATGGCTTTCTTGCTTTTGGCTGGTTTAAAAGTTCCTGAAAGAAGTATTGCCCTTTTTCAGATAGCAGACACAAGAATTTTATCAAAATGGGCATACTTTGTGTTTGACAATGCAATAACTATTTCAATGTCTGCGGGGATTCTGAATAAATTGATACAATCTACTTTGTGGTACAGCCCTCTAATGGAAACTTTTTGATCACATTTTATGTTATGGCAAAGCATGAGTTATTTTATGCAATATACTTGAAAAATGAATGGCAACATTTAAAAAAGTTTTTTTTAAATAATTTATAATTACAATTTTGTTTACAAAATTTCTTCTTGTATGACAGTTATGAATATTTCTCCATTTATACTAGAAAAAGATAATCTAAATTCAGAAAAGCTAAAAACTGGGAGATTAGGGGACATATAGAGTGAAGTAATGAAAAATCAAAGGTCTCCTGTGGAGGGTTTTCAACTCTGTGGTATGCACATAATCAAAAGGATAAACTTAGTAAAATACTATTTAAAGATTGAAAGAAAAATGGAATACTAAAACCCACCTATCAAACATCAGTTAAATCTTCAAATGCTTTGCAGATTTCTATAATGGGCTAAAAAAGATCAGATTGAGTAGAAATTAATCACAGAAATTATGCTGGAACTAAAAAAGGGGGCCACCAGCGGCCAAGCGCTAAAAGCTGCTGAACACTGGTAGTTCGGTCCGGGGTTCGAATCCCGGCGAATGGGCTGGCTGCATGGGCGTTTTCGTGGTTTTTCCCATGTGTAATGTGGATACGAGCCAGTTTCCCTTAAAAAGACCTCCAGGGGACATCCCTCCCTTTTCGTGTAGTGCTTAAGGGCAAAGCATGTAATAAGTAAAAGTAAACTAAAAAAGGGGGGCATTTTTATAAATCAAAATGTTATTAACAGATGATAAAGTTTACTTTTTAAAACTCATTCATCAATATTTTCCTTATACTGCTTCTTTTCCTGTGGCATTCAACGGTCAATAATTCTTGTAAAACTACATTTGAAAGAGAATATCTTAATTCAGATACACTAAAAACCTGGAAGATTTCCCAGGGACATGAAAGACAATATGAAAAATTAGAGTTCTCTGAATTTTACAGATATGGTGGGCAGTTTTGCAATATATTTCCAAACCTTTTTTTAACATTCACTTTTCTGAGGATAGTAGGAAATAAATAAATAAATAAAAAGCTTTTATGGGTGCGCCAAATCAACAAAGTTTGAAGAACATCGATTTAAACCATGATATAGAGATAACATAAGATCTAGGTGGACAAAGAACATGATAAAGTAAAATGAAAAAAAAAAAAAAAAAAAAAAAAAAAAAAAGAGCAATCAATGAATGGTGCACATTTTAAATAAAACTATCGCTTCCAAAAATGAACAGACATGGACTCCGCTTCAAAGAAACAAAATCTCCCTGTCTAACTGAATAAGATTTGAATTTTTACATATAAACACTCTAAAAAGAGGAGCGTGTTACATAGTAAGTCTTACACTGATTCTCTGTGAAAGAAGTTATACATACACATGAAAGAAAAATCTGTACAGTAAGAAGGAACCATCATGTTTTAAAATAATACAGACTTAGAGCTGCTCTGTTAACTGTAAAACTGTTAGTTGATTTAAATTAGTTAATTATGTATCCACTAAATCAGATTGGAAAGAATAACGAAATATCTTCACTTTAATTAGGGCTCAGTTAAGAAATATGGATGTGAAATAATGTATACAAAAATAAATCATAAATTTTTGTTTTTAACAATACACCAAAAATTCCATGAAAAATCGACCCTATGCATGAAATAATTAACTAGACTGCAATGGGCTATGCAGATCTCATTGCCAATATCTAATATCTGCAAAGATTATTTTTAATTATTAGACTATAGATTTTAACATTTTAATTTCGCTCATGGTTTAAAAATAAATAAACAAAGGTTTCAGACAAATTTTTCGATGAAATGATTCAAAACAGTTTTCTACAAAAATCAAAATAAATGCTATCCCTATAGTTGCAAGAGGGAGAAAAGCAAATAAGACTACCATCTATTACAAATTAAAATTCAAAGCCATTTAACAGTTTGTATTACCTGAATTTTGAAAAAATTTTACATAAGTTTCATGCAAAAAATGCGACAACGCACTATGCGCACATTAACTTTAAAGCTTATAACATTGATAACTTTCAGGCAGACACATAAATGAATCAAAACACATTGTGGAAAAAAAAAAGCTTGTTTAAAATATATTTTATAAGGTATTTATGCTTTTCTAGCGTGTCTTTGTGATGTAGTGGTTCTGCACGCTGGGCCGGTATTCCAGAGGTCCGTGGTTCAATTCCCGGCGAAGGCGGTTGCTAATTTTTCATCTTGCCTGCTTCCAAAAATACCTAATGTGTCTACAATTTAAAATAAGGAGAGAAAGGCTTATTTCTGCACTGAAATTTATGAAGCAAACTAACATTCAGTGTAAAAAGAATATTATGGCAGATCCCCTCAAAGCCTGTTGGCTCCTTGAATTTAACACTATATCGGTTCGGTACACATTTCCCTACATGAAAAATAAGGACTTTTAAGGATTTTAAGGACCACCAAAGAAAAAATTAAGGACTATCAGCAAAAAAAAAAGGAATAGAATAAAGAATTATCCATACAACCGATTCTGTGTAATTCATTTAAGAAACTAACAGAAGTGTGTAGTATGCATTATTAAAATTCAATTTTA